AGACACACACATACAGAGAGAGAGAGAGAGAGAGATACACACAATCACATGCACACACACACACACACACACACACACACACACACAAACGCACACACACACATACACACAAACAGTATATAGATACCAAAACCAAATCCGACGTCTCCCTTCACAGAACCCAGTCAAGGACACGAACGACAACAAGAAGCAGTCGGAGGCCAATGTCAAGTCCGGTACGTCGTGATCTCACCTTGTAATCCTGAGTTGATGCTGGTTCAGTTTTAAAATATGTCCCGTCGTTTTATGCAAGACAAATTCTGAATTTATGTTAACTGAGACCAAAAATGTGAAATTATGCAATTCTGTTAATTTTAACAAAGATCGATAAAGGAAAATAATCTGAAATTATGCAAAAAATGATCAAATTTGCTAAATTAAGCGGGGTGCATAAAACCACGGGGACAGGTAAGTGTTTTATGGCGCTGTTGTTTGTTTTAGTAAGGTTTTACAGCACTCGCAACTGCATAATAATGTTAATAAGTTTATATGAGCACCAAGGGGTGTATGTCAACAGAGAAGTCCTTACTTCAGGGAATCAGGCTTACTCTGCTCACCTCTCTAGCCTCTGAAGCACAAAGTGAAAAGTCTGCTTCTACTATCAAGGCACCCCGGAAATAGCAGGCCACCTGAAAATGACAAACATACAAAAGAAGTAGAGGTAAAAGGACGATAGAAAGGATGAGGAAAGAAAAAGCAGCAGTTCCCCCTATGTTGTTCCGGCACAGTATGAGTATGAGCATAACATTGATAAATCAGCCCGTTTACAATTCTACTGTGCATAAGAACATGTTTATATCCCCCAACGACGCTTGCAACACAATAAAGTCATCTATTATCTTAATATAAGTGCCGAAGATTAGAGGAGTTACAAGAGAGTAACATGCGCACAAAAGAAGGAGAGGTAATGATGATGGATGTTTAATAGGAAAGAACGTGCATTATGCAGGCGAAAGAAAAAAACCCCAGAACGTCTGAATAATATAAGGAAAAGGGAAGAGGATTTCTCTGATCGCTTCTCATCTAGCCCTATGACCATCCATGATTTATTTATAGAGGCACCAGCCATCCATGTCCAGGTGCTGTTTTAGCCTCTTCTCTAGCCCTATCTATTTAAAACTCACTCCCGCAAATCTTGAGGGATACAACAAAGTCGGAGGCAAAATTAAAAATTCATTAAGAAAATACGTAATGAAATCCTATCTTGATAGTTATAGTGCTTTTATGTTCATAATGTAGTGTGTATAATATCGTCATTGATTTTGCTATAATAGCATGAAAAATGAATGTCTGATAATATTATGTTAGCGTCAATATCAAGAGCGCATATAGCAGATTCATTCATTCACATTTTGTATTCAATGTAAGTAGTAGTAGTAGTAGTAGTAGTAGTAGTAGTAGTAGTAGTAGTAGTAGTAGTAGTAGTAGTAGTAGTAGTAGTAGTAGTAGTAGTAGTAGTAGTAGTAGTAGTAGTAGTAGTAGTAGTAGTAGTAGTAGTAGTAGCTGTAGTGGTAGTAGTAGTAGCGGTAGCAGTAGCAGTAGCAGCAGCAGCAGCAGCAGCAGCAGCAGCAGCAGCAGTAGTAATAGTAGTAGTAGTAGTAGCAGTAGTAGTAGTAGCAGTGGTAGTAGTAGTGGTAGTAGTAGTGGTAGTAGTAGTAGTAGTAGTGGTAGCAGCAGCAGCAGCAGCAGCAGTAGCAGCAGCAGCAGTAGCAGCAGCAGCAGCAGCAGCAGCAGCAGCAGCAGCAGCAGCAGCAGCAGCAGCAGCAGTAGTAGTAGTAGTACCAACTTTCACACATGCAACAAGAATAAAAAGGAGTCTTAAAATCCGCAATCAAATCTGAGAAAAAAAAGTTTCATTGCCATGCAGACGGCAGCCATATTGGATTTTGTTGTAATGTCTTACGTAATGAACACCGCGCTTATTTTTCATTGAAATAGGTTGTTGTTGTTGTTGTTTTTTTGCATGTGTGTTAGTAGAAAATATATGAACAATTTTTCTCTGTTGAATTTTTCTTAAACAAATTAGAAAATATTTCATGAATATTTTCCTGAGGTAGCATTCAAGTTTACAAAAAATCCATGAAAATCCACACTCCAGACATCACCAACAAAAATCTATTCCATATATCGGAAATTCAATAGTCATAATTTTATATTACATCTTCTCTTCATTCTGTGAAAATTTCATGAAGGTTGGACAAAAAATGATGAAGGTATTGAAAAAAGTATAAACCGCGTTTTGAGAAAACGGGCGATAAAGAAAAATGAAAGACTGACTTTATGAGGAAACTTGAAACAGTGGTGACTAACATGCCAGGTATGTGGAAAAAATCAGGCTTTAGGAGGTTCTTATGCGATGAAAATAGTTGTAAGAGAGGCTGTAGACGCTAAAAAGGCCTAAAACTCAAAATCCATAATTTTGACCTGAATTTCCGGGTGTAGGCCTCCCCCCACTTTAAAG